GCACATAACAACAACAATTCATGTATTGTAAATAGTTACTGTTATACTGTGCTAGGTGTTGAAGATTCAGCAGTAAATAGAAATGAGGGTCCTCACACTCTTTATAAGAGAGACAATTAAGATGTAAACTAATAAGTAAATGTATGAAGCATATACAACTTAGTGGTGGAATAACTGGGTAGAGAGAGGTAAATCTGAACTTGAGTGATGGGTCAGGAAGGAGACTATGAGAAGTGATATTTTAACTGAGATCTAATGGATAAAAAAGAGTCAGTCCTACTAATATTTGAGCAAAGACAGTTAAAAGCAGAGAGTAGCCTTCTTAAAATATTTGAGGAAGAAAATGAAAGTCAGTATGGGAAGAATATAGAAGGTGCATGATAGGAAAAAGTTGGAGTGATGAGGTTTACAAAAGAACAAGAGATCATAACTGACAACTGACTAACAGTCAAAAAAATGAGAAATATTTTAAAATTACTTCAGAGGTAAAATGAGAAAAAAACCACAAATTTATTTATCTAAGCTTTAAAGAAAGAAATATGGAGTTGGATAAAGCCAAATAAAAGGAATAACTTAGCAGATATATGGCATAGAGTGACTGATCTCTCATAATAAATAGTCAAAGTGAAATCCTCAAGAACTAGTGTGTCAACTCAAGGCATTCTTCATTCTTTTCTCAGACTGTACTCTCCCATAACTTAGCCTCGAATTTCTCATTGGTGCTATCTGGACAAAGAAAATCTATTCAAAAATATCTCTGAACTCAGCTTTCCCAATAACTCTCACTCTGTGCCATGTGTGTCTCTCTCTCGGCCCCCCTTAAGTAAAATAAGACCTGGAGAATGAAAATAATTTATCCAAATTTATATACATATAAGAATAAAAACCACAGAGTATCTTATTACGCCATAAAGTAAGAAACTGCTCAAAAATCAGGGTAGCATATCACAAGGACATGCCAGCTTGAAGGACAGTTTAAACATTTAAAGATAGTTCTGAATTGTAAACCACTAAGGAGAGAAAGGAACCAAGAGGCCACACTGATAAATAAAGAGGCAGAGGGAAAAGAGGGCTCTTGCATATAATACAATGTCAAAAGTCAACTGGCAAATGTGGAGGGAATGTCGATGTTGATGATGAAGAGCAGGATTTTTATATAGTTGGAAATGTCTTCCCAAAGTAACACAGGACAAAATATTTTATACAGGGAGAACTAAAAAAAAACCATATGGCCAAAGAGGAGCAGATGGGCAGAGTATGCCTCTAGATTTAACACCCTGAGCAGAACACAACATCACTTACGGAGCATTCTGGCTGGGAATATATAGCCTGAATCCAATCATGAGAAACACCAGACAAATCTCAAATGAGCAATGTTTTGTTTTCATAAAAGGAAGAGACGGACAGTTTTTTTAAAAAAAAAAAACAACTCGTCAATGTCATTAAACACAAAACAAGGCTAAGGAACTATTTTCAGTTGCTGCTGTTGTTAAATGCTGTCGAGTCAAATACGACTCATAGCAACCCTATAAACAAAAGATCTAAAGCCTGTTCTTTAACTCTCATCATTTCTCTAATGTCCATAGAGTTTCCAAAGGCATGTTGTTTAGGAAGTGGATGCCAATCCTGCTTCCAAGCCTGTCTTTATCTGGGAGCTCTACAAACCACTGTCCGCCATGGGTAATCATTATGGCATTTCACACACCAGTGGCACAGCGTTCAGCAACACAATCCCAAGTTATCCCAGTACAGCAAACTGACAGACAGACCAGTGCTGTGCCACTTAGAAGAATGTTCTTCCCAAACACAAATGCAATTCATGATCAGGCACTGGATCATTAGAGGGGGAAATGTGTTATAAAAGGCATTTGAGTAAAGTGGAAAAATTGAAATAGAGAGAACTGAACAATAAATGTATGGTATCAACATCAGATTTACTATAGTAGCTAACTATACTGTGACCATAAAAAGGAATACCTGTATTCCTGCTTCTGCTGCTCTTGTTGTGTAGGCACCACTGAGTCGACTATGGCTCATGGCAATCCTATGACCTGAACCCTGCCCTATCCTGCTAAACTATTTGCAATTTACTCTCAGTTCCAAAAAATAACAACAATCGTGGGTACAGTGTACATATATGTATGTGCGTAAACTTACAGAGACACAGAATAAGAGAGAAAGAATATGTGCATATGTGTAAGCACAAATGTGGTAAAATAGTAACAAGTCAATCTGCATCAAGGGAATATGAGAGTTTTAACCATTCTTGCAACTTTTCTATAAATTTAAAATTATTCCCAAAAATATACCAAAACTCCCTTATTTAGGACAGAGTGTTATAGTGAAGTGGTAAAGCTCAAATACAAGGAATGAGTGGCTGGTCTGGTCTGAAACACTCTTAGAGAATGTAACATTTTCACTGGACACAGGAGACTTAGAAAGAAACTAAACCATAATCATTATTTTGAGACACCGGGGGTCAGGATGAGTAGCCATAGTTCCACCAAAAAATGAATGAACTGCATGCAGTCCAGTTGGAATCAATACACAGATGCCCTTCCAGTGGGTTTTCAAAAAGTTGTGTCTCACTTGAAAAGAGACTGCCCATGTTCCTCCTGAGAAGCAGTTGGAAGATTTGAAATGCCTGCCACTGGATTGGCAGCACAACTCCTTATCCATTAGGTGATGAGACCCTCCTTAAAAAACCCAAATCCACTGTCATTGAATTGATTCCAAATCATGGAGACCCTCCATTAGGTTCCCAACCAAGGCTGTAAATATTAATGGAAGTAGACTTTGTTCATCTCTCTTTCAAGAAGCAAATGAGAGACTTGAAACACTATCTATTTTTGTTAACAACCTAATACCTAACACCTTCTGTCACCAGGGCTCCCTCTAAACAACAAAAGAAGCCAGAAATATAATCATAATGCTTAGCTCCCAAGGGAAAAAAGCCAAAAGGGACAAAAGCTTTGTAAAACCACACCTTCAGGATGCATCACCCCATATAATTTTCTGTAAAAAAAATTATTTGCAGCAGACATTCATGTCATCTAAAACATTAAAACAGACAGTCCCCCTCCTGACAACCTGAGGCACTATTAGTGGGAAAGCAGCTGCCCAATAAATTCTGGAGGAGGAAAATGTGAGTGAGTACTGTATGTCCTGGAGGTCACGAAAAGATTAATCAATCAACACTGTGGATAAACTTTCAGATAAACAAAAAAATCCAAAGGAAAACAGGAGAGGATGAGAGATATGCTGAAGGTGGGAAGTGGAAGAGGAGAAACAGATGTGCACACACTCTAACCTGGGGGTAGCAGAAGCCAGACAGAAGGTGTAGAATCAGAATATACACCTGTGTTAGTGACAACCTTGCCAGCGATTTAGAATCTTACATTTTTTATGCACTAAATCCTTCTACATAATACATATTCTTGAAAAGAAAAAAAAAGTTAACAACTTACTCTGGTCAGTTTCTCAGGCTTAGAAGAGATGTGCAGCTGGGAAAACAACTCTGTAATTTCTTTAGTAAAGTCTTCATCCCCTGAAAAACCAAATGCCATATAAAACACTAGAAAGGATGGGATCAGGAGGTCACAAAGAAGAGGAGGCAAGAAGTAATAGCAGAAGATACAATAATTTACTACCTTCCAGTTAGAACCAACTGGTATCTGACTCTCCAGCTGTTTTCCAAGGCTGTTAATCACATGGGAGAAGACTGCCCATCTTTCCCCCTTGGAACAACCAGTGATTCGAACCACCAGAGAGCAGCAAAACTCTCTACAGACTACACCACCAGAATTCCCTCATAATAACAACAGTAATGACTTACCATGGCATGGCACATATAGAATTATTTTACATACATTATATCAATGCATTTTTTTTTCATTACTCCTATAAGAGGGTGAAATCAAGTTTCTCCTTGGAGGTTTGGATTTTGAAGCTCTATCTTACATACTTTGGGCATGTGGCCAGGAGGGACCAATCCTCAGAGAAGGACATCATACTCAGAAGGGTGGAGGGACAGCCAAGAGAGGAAGACCTCGGATGAGATGGATTGATACAATGACTAGTGCAATGGAATAGGTGTGTCAGAGTCAGTGAAACTGGCTCAGGACTGGGCAGGCTTCAGAGCTACTGTACACGGGGGGTGGCTATGAGTCACAGGTGACTTGATGGCACATAGCAACAACGTAAGAAAAGCAGTATCCCGCAGTATCCCACTTTAAAGATAAAAAAAACCAAACAGATCTTAAAGGGGTTAAGTGATTTTACCAAGATCACATAGCCAAGACTAAGGGTCAAATCTTGGCCCTCTTACCCCACTTCAAGCCCAGAGCTTGATGAAGACCAAGTATTAAAAAGGTACTCCATACACGTACTTCAAAGGAAGTGTAATATCCTCCGGACTGAAAAACTGAATATAAGTTTCTCTACAAGAATGAGAAGGGTGCCCAGAAAAGGAAACACATGCAAAGTACGAAAGATGGAAAAGAGTTTAAAAATAATTTTAAGTTGGTAAAGAATATTTAGTGAAGATAGAGGAATGAAGCGAGAGGGGGAGTAGCCAGTTATTTCAGAGTCATCTCTAACTTTTGATGACTGCACATATGTGAGAGCAGAACTCTGCTCCATGACTGATTTTTGGAAGTAGATCCATCTTTGAAGGCAACTCTGGGTAAATCTGAACCTCTAACCTTCTGGTGAGCAGTTAAGCAAATTAAACTTCTCCATCACCCAAACGCTCCAGAAAGGTTAACAGAATATAAATAATAATGTTGTTGTTGTTATGTGCCATTAAGTCACTTGTAACTCAGACCTTACGTACAACAGCCCTAAACCCTCCTCTATCCTGTGCCAATCTTATTGTCTCTGATACACCTATCCTCACTACCCCAGTCACTGAATCAATGAATATTATCAAGAGTCTTCCTCTCTTGCACTGACCCTTCTCCCTCCCAAGCATGATGCCCTTCTCCAAGTACTAGTCCCTCCTTGCAACATGTCCAAAGTATGTCAACTAAGCTTCAGAATCCTCGCCTCCAAGGAGCAACTTGGTTTCAAACTCCCTAGGATGAATCTGTTTGTTCTCCTAACTGTCCATAGTGTTTTCAATACTTTTCTCCAGCATCATAGCTCAAAGGCATCAATTCTCCTTCTATCACCCCTACACATCATCCAGCTTTCTGATATATAGCAAATAAGTGCAAAGACCATGGCCTGAATCAGCATACCTTAGTCTCCAGACAGACATCATTGCTCTTCAATACTTTGGAGATGTCTCTGACAGTAAACTTTCCTAATGTAATACGTCTTTTAATTTCCTGGATGCTGGTACCAAAAGTGTTGATTGTGGAGCCAAGCAAATTGAAGCTATTAACAATCTCAGTCTCTTCATTATCTATCATGATGCTGCCAATTGTTTTCTTGCTGTTTGTTGTCAACTTGGTTCCAAATCATAGCAACAGCAGAACAAACCCTGCCTAATCCTTGCAGTCACTGTGACGTGCTAGAGCCCATTATTACCCATCGTTTTTTGTACTTTTAAATAATAGCAGACCTTATTAAGACGATCATAAGCACTCAAACTTCATATGGAGAGAGTAGGGAGCCAAGCCATAGATTTTAAGCAGATACTAAAATTATTAAATTTTAAGTCTGGAAAGATCACTGTGTTGCTGAGTGGAAGAAGCAAGATAAGACAACATTCCAGGAAATGAAATGGATGAAAAGAAATAAGGAAATGAGATTCCAGAACACTGGAAAGACAATAAGGAAGGTTTTAGAGTAAACGTGCTAAGAGGTGATGGGAATACAGAATTCAGACCCTTACAAGGATACAAGCAAATGTGAGTTAGGACCGAACCACCAATACATCCACACAATCTAAAGGATATTGTCTTCATCCACCTAAATTCAATCTTATTGACACTTTGAGTCCCAAGCCAGGGTTCATCTGAAACCTGGAATGTAGACAAGAACTCTTGGGTACAAAAATTATTGCATATAGTCATATTATATAAGGATTTCATAATCATCAGTCCATAATTTGCCAGCACAAATTATTACTGCTTCATAATTTGCTCCTTCCCAAAATCTCCAGTAAAAATAAAATTGTTCTCTTGGCATCTATCTGTTATCCTTTCCCACCCTCTTTCTTCTGAGCATTTGAGGAAGAGAATTCAAATTCTATCATGATCTCAGGTACCATATATTTTGGGAACAGTTGAAGTCATTTACTGATAATAATTGGTATATAAAAGTCAATTAAACTACAAATCTGATTATCTGAAACTTAAAACTTGGAATTTTGTTTCTCCAATTAAACTTTAAAGCAAGTCTGTGTGAAGTACATGTCAAAGGGTTCACAAAATTATTCAGAGATGAAGGGGGGGGAATTGTCTTATTTAGACACTTCTCTCATTTGCTTAAAAAATCTACTTTGGGGAGTATTTTAGAATTTACTTACATATTTTACAATATTTGCTGTTGCTATAGTGTACCATAGATTCAGAACTGACCCACAGCTGACTCAGTTGCACAGGAGAGATTGCCTATCCTCCCAAGGAGCCTCCTGGTTCAAGTATAGGTTCCTCATGAGCACAGTCAAATACTCTGGGATTCCCATTCTTCTCAATGTCAGGCATAGCTTGTCATGATCCACACAGTCAAACTCCTTTGCATAGTAAGTAAAGCACAAACAGACATTCTTCTGGTATTCCTTACTTTCAGCCAGGATGCATCTGACATCAGTGCTACTGCCTTTTCTAAATCCCATTTTACCTTCTGGCAATTCCCCGGCTGTTTTTTGAATGATCTTCAGCAGTATTTTGCGAGCATGTAATATCAATGAACTGTTCGATAATTTTCACACTCAGTTGCGCAAACAGAGCAGGGGAGCACTGCATGGTTTGGAACTGGAAAGGGAGTAGATCTCTCTGTCCATACTTGTTCAATCTATATGCTGAGTAAATTATCCACACTTCCAAGCATGATGTCCTTCTCCAAGGACTGGTCCCTCCTTGCAACATGCCCAAAGTGTGTCATATGACGTTTCAGAACCCTTGTCTCCAAGGAGCATCCTGGTTTCACCCTCTCAAGAACAAATCTGTTTGCTTTCTTAGCAGTCTATGATAAATTAATACTCTTCTCCAGAACTCAAAGGCATCACATCTTCTACCATCCTCAGTCACCGTCCAACTCACTGATGCAGAGCAGGTTTGCAAATACCATGGCTTAAATCAGGTACATCTTAGTCTCTAGACTGACACTGTTGAAGACCATGGCTTAAATCAGGTACATCTTAGTCCCAAGACTGACATCGTTACTCTTCAGTACTCTGGAGAAATCCCTGGCAGTATATTTTCCCAATGCAATTTGTCTTTTGATTTCCAGGTTGCTGATACCAAGAGTGTTGATTATGCGGCCAAGAAAGCTGAAACTGTTAACAATCTCAGTCTGTTCACCATCTATCATGATGCAGCTAATTGGCCTAGTGGTGACAATCTGTTTTCTTGATTTTGTACAGCCCTTGCTATAGAGCTGCAAGGCTGCAGTCCTTGACCTTTTACAGCAAATGCCTCAGGTCCTCTTCGGCTTCAGCAAGTAAGATTGTGTTACTTGCATAATATGGATTGTTGATGAGTCTTCCTCCAATCCTGATACCACATTCCTCCTTATAGTGCTCAGCCTCCCAAATGATCTGTTCTGCATATAGATTGAAAAGGTTTGGAGATAGGATGCATCCCTGTCTTACACCTTTCCTGATCCCGACCATGTAGAATATTTCCTTGCTTTGTTCTGGCCACTGCCTCCTGGTCCAAGTACAGGTTTCACGTAAGCACAATCAAGTATTCTGGGATTCCCATTCTTCTCAGAGTCAGCCACAGTTTGTTGCAATCCACACAGTCAATGCCTTTGCATAGTCAGTGAAACACAGAAAGACATAGACATTCCTCTGGTACTCTCTGCTTTGAGCTAAGATCCACCTAACATTAGCTATAATAGCTCTGGTGACACAGCCTATTCTTTTTTTTTTTAATTAATAAAAATATTTTCTTGAATTTCAGGAACTTGGTACTTTTTCTGTTAAGATTTCAAATCTTGGCACACAAATCATCACTGTACTTCCTAGAATAGTATAAATTACGAGTTCCAGATTGTTACTTACATCCTGTGTTACAAAGCACAGAAACCCCAAAGGAGTGGGTGCCGCCCACCCCTCCACACCCCCGCCCGTAACTACAGACTACTGTTAGACTAGTAGAGGACAGTGACAGAAGTGGTGGGCATTCAAGGAGCTCCACTGTCCCTGCACATGCTCTCCTGAAGCCAGAGGACAGCCTCTTCAAAATCCAGCCTGCACATTTGCCACTTCTCTGGTGATGGGCTGCTCCAGTCATATTTGGATAATTTTCAGCAGAATCTTGCTTGCATGAGATATTAAAGAAGCCAAAGCAAAAGCAAGAAATAAAACTGGAACTGAACAGAAAATTTCAAAGAGAAGTATGGAAAGACAAAGCAAAGTATTATTGTGAAATG